TGGCTTTTCATTTTGTGGCAGCATGGAATGCAATTTGAACGAAATGCGATGCAATTCTTGTTCAAATCTCATGCAGTTTCCCCACCCCTTCAAGCTTGTCATAGCTGGCAGGGATGACAGTAAGGGTTAGATAGCTTCTGATTGGTCAGCATTTCTTTTTACCAGGGAGTACGAGTACTGATACTTTCGATCAAGTACTCACCAATATCGATACTTTACGATAAAATTTGCACTCATACCAAATGAACGGGCGTAAATCGCACGGCAAATAATAGAATGCAATTTGAACAGGAATGTGGTGCAATTCTTGCTCAAATCCCCCGATAAAAGTGCTTGAATCAAGATCTTACACTGCAGGAAGTGTAGTCACCCTATAACAGGAAGTGTCTGAACCTTAACCTCTGCAAGTGTTGTTACCCTATAAGAGGAAGTGTCTGAGCCAGGATCTTTCACTGCAAGAAGTGTTGTCACCCTATATAAGGAAGTGTCTAAACCTGGACCTCTCGCTGCAGGAAGTGTTGTCACCCTATAACAGGAAGTGCTTGAACCTTGACCTCTCACTGCAAAAAGTGTTGTCAGCCTATAAGAGGAAGATTCCCCGCACTGCAAAAGTGCAATTACCCTATAAGAGGAAGGTTCCCCTCACTGGAGGATGTGTAGTTACCCTAAAAGAGGACGATTCCCCACACTGCAGGAAGTGTAGTCCTCCTATAGGAGGAAAGCTCCCCTCACTGCAAGATGTGTAGTCACCCTATAAGAGGAAAGCTCCCCTCACTGCAGGAAGTGTAGTCACCCTATAGGAGGAAGGCTCCCCTCATTGCAGGAAATGTAGTCACCCTATAGGAAGAAGGCTCCCCTCACTGCAGGAAGTGTAGTCACCCTATAGCTGGAAGGCTCCCCTCACTGCAGGAAGTGCAGTCACCTTACAGAAGGAAGGTTCCCCTCACTGCAGGAAGTGTAGTCACCCTATAGCTGGAAGGCTCCCCTCACAGCAGGAACTGTAGTCACCTTACAGGAGGAAGGTTCCCCTCACTGCAGGAAGTGTAGTCACCCTATAGGAGGAAGGTTGCCCTCACTGCAGGAAGTGTAGCCACCTTACAGGAGGAAGGTTCCCCTCACTGCAGGAAGTGTAGCCACTTACAGGAGGAAGGTTCCCCTCACTGCAGGAAGTGTAGTCACCTTACAGGAGGAAGGTTCCCCTCACTGCAGGAAGTGTAGTCACCTTACAGGAGGAAGGTTCCCCTCACTGCAGGAAGTGTAGTCACCCTATAGGAGGAAAGCTCACTGCAGGAAGTGTAGTCACCCTATAGGAGGAAAGCTCACTGCAGAAGTGTAGTCACCCTATAGGATGAAAGCTCACTGCAGGAAGTGTAGTCACCCTATAGGAGGAAAGCTCACTGCAGGAAGTGTAGTCACCCTATAGGAGGAAAGCTCACTGCAGGAAGTGTAGTCACCCTATAGGAGGAAGGCTCCCCTCCCTGCAGGAGGTGTAGTCACCCTATAGGAGGAAGGCTCCCCTCACTGCAGGAAGTGTAGTCACCCTTCAGGAGGAAGGATCCCCTCACTGCAGGAAGAGTAGTCACCCTATAGGAGGAAAGCTCACTGCTGCAGGAAGTATAGTCACCCTACAGGAGGAAGGTTCCCCTCACTGCAGGAAGTGTAGTCACCCTATAGGAGGAAGGCTCCCCTCATTGCAGGAAGTGTAGTCACCCTACAGGAGAAAGGTTCCCCTCACTGCAGGAAGTGTAGTCACCCTACAGGAGGAAAGCTCACTGCAGCACCACCAGGTGTTATTTTTAATAAATGTCCAGATTTACACATATTAAACATGTCATGTGTGCAATTCTTTTCCCATTACCCCTTAATGACAGTTCAGTATCTGTGTAACATTTCATGTCATCAGCAGCAGAGTATTCTACCGTCTTCACAGCAGCCTCCTCCTTCTCACACAGTAATACGGAAGCAGCGTAGCAAGCCATGCTACCCTGTGTACTCTCACCCACTACAACAACCAGCAGTGATCCCCCAATGAATGAACCACAGTGACCCACACAGCACGTCCTACCTCTCTCCTCCAGGACACACGCTGGATGACATCACCATCATGTGACCCGACACTGGGTGACGCTGCTGCACCATGTGACTGTGAATGCCAGACTTGAATAGATGGCGGGGGAGTGACGGTCATACGGAGTGCACTGTGGTGTCTTCCTGGTGTCTGTACAGCACTTCCAGTCCAGTGTGTCATGTGTCACCCTGTGAGAGCCCTACTGCTACTATAAGTGTAGAGGAGGCACAACATCCTTCCTAAATACATACCCACCTACCTCTCTGATAAGGGCAAGAGGGACACTTACCGGCATCCTTCACCTTATACAGAATGTGATGAGTAAAGTGACAGGAAAAGATATTCTTTTTGTATTTCCCCCAATGCTAAATACTTACATTATGTGACGGCTGCTGATGTCCACTTCTTCCCTCCACCTGATTCTAGTCATCCCTCTCAGCGCTGGCACCAGCGACCTCTGCTCCAGTGACTCCTTCTTCTTTATGAGTCCCATGGTGTCACCCCTGCATATGTGCTCCTAACTTACATACTCTGCTTCATACTGCCTAGAGCAGCAAGCCCCCCTCTTATGTCCTCCAAAGTGACCGCTCCTCCTGTCCTCAGCACAGTCCTCCCTTACCCAGAAGTTCAAGGAACTGGGTAAACGCAAATGGCAGAGAATGGGGAGATGTCTAGTTCACACCACAAAATCACACTTCAATCCGTTTCTGCATGTGCATTTTTAACACGTTTTTGATGCTTTTCCGGATGTGTTCCAAATAATTTTTTTCAGAGTTTTTTTTTTTCGCTTTACTGGGGTCTGGTGTGTTTTATGATATGTTTTTGATGCGTTTTACCACTTTCTAGTACAGTTCTGTGCAGGAAAAATGCAGTATGTTCTACTTTTTTTTTCTGCAATGGGAATGCAGTGAAACTGCAAGTACTGGTGTGAACTGTGCCATTGAAAACCATGTAACCTACTTTCTATGTGTTTTGGTTGCACACAAAAAAAGCCCTGGAATGTATGTGGTGTGAACTAACCTCAATGTTTGACCACATTGGGCTATTGGGGACTGCTGCCTTGCTTATTAGTGATGGGTTCATAAAGCGTCACAAAGCAAAACTGTTTTTCTAGGTTTTCGGTAGCACTACCCCCTTAGGAGTTGCTGAAGATTTGGGTCCCCCTCAAGGGCGGACTGACAACTCATGGGGCCCCAGGCAATAGGGGATCATGGGTCCCCTGTGTCCTTGTCGAAACTCAAAAAAGCTTATGAAAAAGGTACCAGGGGCATCTCATGGGGCCCCCTACTGACCCAGTGCCCGAGTTTCCAAATGGTCAGTCAGCCCCTGGTCCCCCTATAGTCCTGCACAGCCAGGCAACACGCATTTTCCACACAGACTTGCATCCAGAAGACAGTAACCAGTCCTTGAGCTTGTTTTTTTTTTTTTATTAGGGGAAGTGAACTTGAATGGGTTAAGGGGTGTATGGCATGCCCAAGGAAACGGCAAGTGAGGAAAATCTTCCTGGAACTATTTACAAGGCTCTTTAACCATTAGCCACCCGGCCAATGGCCGAATTGCGGCATGCAAAATCCATTAGCGTTCCGGTAGGATGCCATATGGCGTCCTCCTGGTCATCCGCAGTTTGCGCGCCTGCAGAGCCACGCAGCGGCGCGATCTGTCACCGGCCGTGTACCTCGGACATGGCCGATAACAGATCTGAGTACCGGCCCCGTTGCCGGTACCATGTGACCTGCTGTGACCAATCACAGCAGGTCACATGACAGTTGTACACAATGGATGGCTTCATTCATGCCATCCGTTGTATACTAGTGTGTGTAGCTCTGATTGGTCACGGCGATCACATGTACAAGCTGGGCTAATCACAGCCCAGCTGTGTCATGTGATTAGCTGTAGCCAAATCACAGCTAAGCACAAAAAAAAAAAGCCCTGAATGAATCGATGTCATTCAGGTAAATGCTTGCTTATAGCAAAGTAATTCTTTGCTATAAGCAAATTGTGTAAAAAAAAAAATATTGATCACTTCCCCAAAGTAGTACAATGTTACTATGGTAACATTGTACTACTTTGGTCATAGTGAAATAAGAAAAAAAATTGTGAATAAAAATGTAATAAAAAATTAAAAATAATAAAAAATTTTTTAAAAAATTATATATTTTTTTTCATACTGTCACCAGTCAGTGTCCCTGATCACCGCCATGCCAGTTATGATGACACTGTACTGCACTGGTGACAATATGTAAAAACAAAATAGTGAAAATAATTTTTTTCATTTTCCGAAAAATTATGACAAAAAAATACAACTTCAAAAAACTGGCCATGCCTCTTATGAAGTACATCGGACTGTCTACTTTGCAAAAAGGGGTCATTTGGGGGATATCTGTACTGTTCTGACATTCTTGGACCTCAAGAAATTAGATTGGCTGTCAGTACTTCAGGATTGATCAATTTTCAGATCTATACCACAGTTTGTGAACTCTATAACTTTCCTACAAACTAAAAAATACATCCTAATTTGGGTTATTTTCACCAAAGACATGTAGCAGAACACATCTTGGCCTAAATTTATGAAGAACAATTATTTATTTGCAAACGTTTATAACAGAAACAAAGAAAAAAGTGGGTTTTTTCTTCAAAATTTCCAGCCTTTTTTTTGTTAATTTAGCAAAAAATAAAAACCCCAGAGATGATTAAATACCACCAAAAGAAAGTTCTAGTTGTGTGAAGAAAATGATAAAATCATTGTCATTCAAATGTGAGAGTGCTGAAACCTGAAAAATGGCCTGGGCAGGAAGGGGGTAAAAGTGCCCTGTATGGAAAGGGTTAACAGCCTCCCGCCCACCATATAAGGAAATGACAGGCGGGCGGCGTCATATGATGTCCTCCCCCTCTAACTGCACATGTGCGACCACTGGGACCCTGGGACACAGCGGTTCACAGTAAAGAGCCAATGATGTTGGCTCTGTCTTGTGATCAGTTGTGTCCAATCACAGCTGATTGCATGTAAACAGGAAATGACGATTATCGGCACTCCTCCCCTCACGCTGACAGCACATGAGGAGAGGAAGTAAGCGGCATTCCTCAGAAGGGACATCACTGATCATCAGAGCACAGATGATCAGTGTAGCCCCATCAGTGCCCCCTGTCAGTGCCCATCAATGCCACAGTGTAGCCCCATCAGTGCCACCTGTCAGTGCCCATCAATGCCACATACCAGTGCACATCAATGCCACATATCAGTGCCTACCAGTGCACATCAATGCCACATATCAGTGCCCATCAGAGCTGCCTTTCAGTGCCAACTATCAGTGCCAGTCAGTGACACTATCTGCCGCCAATCATTGCAACTTATCAGTGCCAGTCAGTGCCACCTACAGTGGGGCAAAAAAGTATTTAGTCAGCCACCAATTGTGCAAGTTCTCCCATGATGAGAGAGGCCTGTAATTGGCATCATAGGTAGACCTCAACTATGAGAGACAAAATGAGAAAACAAATCCAGACAATCACATTGGCTGATTTGGAAAGAATTTATTTGCAAATTATGGTGGAAAATAAGTAATTGGTCACCTACAAATAAGCAAGATTTCTGGCTCTCACAGACCTGTACCTTCTTCTTTAACCATTAGCCGCCCAGCCAATGGCCGTTTGGCGGCTTGAAAAGCGCTGCAGCTTTCCGGATGCACGCCATTTGGCGTGCTCCCGCACATGCGCGGTTTGCGCGGTTGCAGAGCGACGCAGCAGTGCGATCTGTCACCGCCCGTGCACCTCGGACACGGCCGATGACAGATCCGAGTACCGGCTCCCGTTGCCGGTACCATGTGACCTGCTGTGACCAATCACAGCAGGTCACATGACAGTTGTATACAATGGATGGCTTCATTCATGATGCCATCCATTGTATACTAGTGCCTAGCTGTGAATGGTCACAGCTAATCACATGCACATGTCATGTGATTAGCTGTGACAAAATCACAGCTAAGCACAAAAAAAAAAAAAAAAAAAAGCTGAATGAATCGATTTCATTCAGGTAAATGCTTGCTTATAGCAAAGTAATTCTTTGCTATAAGCAAATTGTGTAAAAAAAAAAAAAAAATACTGATCACTTCCCCAAAGTAGTACAGTGTTACTATGGTAACATTGTACTATTTTGGTCATAGTAAAATATGAAAAAAAATCTTAAAAAAAATGTAATAAAAAATTTAATATAATAAAAAAATTAAAAAAAAATATATATTTTTTTTCATACTGTCACCAGTCAGTGTCGCTGTTCACCGCCATGCCAGTTACATGATGACGCTGTACTGCACTGGTGACAGTATGTAAAAAAAAAAATAGTGAAAATAATTTTTTTAATTTTTTCATTTTCCGAAAAATTATGACAAAAAAATACAACTTCAAAAAACTCGCCATGCCTCTTATGAAGTACGTCGGACTGTCTACTCTGCAAAAAGGGGTCATTTGGGGATATCTGTACTATTCTGACATTCTTGGACCTCAAGATATTAGATTGGCTGTCAGTACTTCAGGATCGATCAATATTCAGATATATACCATAGTTTGTGAACTCTATAACTTTCCTACAAACTAAAAAATAATTTGGGTTATTTTCACCAAAGACATGTAGCAGAATACATCTCGGCCTAAATTTATGAAGACCAATTATTTATTTGTAAACTTTTTGTAACAGAAACAAAGAAAAATGTGTTTTTTTTTTCAAAATTTTTGGTCTTTTTTTTGTTAATTTAGCAAAAAATAAAAACCCCAGCGGTGATTAAATACCACAAAAAGAAAGCTCTAGTTGTGTGAAGAAAATGATCAAATTTTAGTTTGGGTACAATGTTGTATGACCGCGCAATTGTCATTCAAAGTGTGAGAGCGCTGAAACCTGAAAACTGGCCTGGGCAGGAAGGTGTAAAATTGCACGGTATTGAAACGGTTAAGAGGCTCCTCTGTCCTGCACTCATTACCTCTATCAATGGCACCTGTTTGAACTTGTTATCAGTATAAAAGACACCTGTCCACAACCTCAAACAGTCACACTCCAAACTCCACTATGGTGAAGACCAAAGAGCTGTCGAAGGACACCAGAAACAAAATTGTAGACCTGCACCAGGCTGGGAAGACTGAATCTGCAATAGGCAAGCAACTTGGTGTGAACAAATCAACTGTGGGAGCAATAATTAGAAAATGGAAGACATACAAGACCACTGATAATCTCCCTCGATCTGGAGCTCCATGCAAGATCTCACCCCGTGGGGTCAAAATGATCACAAGAACGGTGAGCAAAAATCCCAGGACCACAAGGGAGGGACCTAGTGAATGACCTGCAGAGAGCTGGGACCAACGTAACAAAGGCTACCATCAGTAACACACTACCCCGCCAGGGACTCAGATCCTGCAGTGCCAGACGTGTCCCCCTGCTTAAGCCAGTACATGTCCGGGACCGTCTGAAGTTTGCTAGAGAGCATTTGGATGATCCAGAAGAGGATTGGGAGAATGTCATATGGTCAGATGAAACCAAAATAGAACTGTTTGGTAGAAACACAACTCGTCGTGTGTGGAGGAGAGAGAATGCTGAGTTGCATCCAAAGAACACCATACCTACTGTGAAGCATGGGGGTGGCAACATCATGCTTTGGGGCTGTTTCTCCGCAAAGGGACCAGGACGACTGATCCATGTACAGGACAGAATGAATGGGGCCATGTATCGTGAGATTTTGAGTGCAAACCTCCTTCCATCAGCAAGGGCATTGAAGATGAAATGTGGCTGGGTCTTCCAACATGACAATGATCCCAAACATACCACCCGGGCAACAAAGGAGTGGCTTCGTAAGAAGCATTTCAAGGTCCTGGAGTGGCCTAGCCAGTCTCCAGATCTCAACCCCATAGAAAACCTTTGGAGGGAGTTGAAAGTCCGTGTTGCCCAGCAACAGCCCCAAAACATCACTGCTCTAGAGGAGATCTGCATGGAGGAATGGGCCAACATACCAGCAACAGTGTGTGCCAAGCTTGTGAAGACTTACAGGAAATGTTTGACCTCTGTCATTGTCAACAAAGGATATATAACAAAGTATTGAGATGAACTTTTGATATTGACCAAATACTTATTTTCCACCATAGTTTGCAAATAAATTCTTTCCAAATCAGCCAATGTGATTGTCTGGATTTTTTTTCTCATTTTGTCTCTCATAGTTGAGGTCTACCTATGATGCCAATTACAGGCCTCTCTCATCTTTTTAAGTGGGAGAACTTGCACAATTGGTGGCTGACTAAATACTTTTTTGCCCCACTGTATCAGTGCGCGCCAGTGCTGCCTACAGTAACAGTTCCAATCAATGCCGCCTATCAGTGCCATATATGAGTGCTGCCTTTCAGTGCCCATCAGTGATGCCTGTCAATGTCCATCAGTGCCACCTATCAGTGCCTCCTCATCAGTGCTGCCTATCAGTGCCCATCAGTGCAGCCTTATTAGCGCACATCAGTGAAAGAGAAAAATTACTTCTTTACAAAATTGTATAACAGAAACTAAGAAAAAACGTTTGTTTTTTCAAAATTTTCAGTCTTTTTTAGTTCAGAAAAAAAAAACAGTGGTGATTACTGTAAATACCACCAAAAGAAAGTTCTGTCTCAAAAAAAAAGATACAAATTTTGTTTGGATACAGTGACCGCGCAATTGTCATTCAAAGTGCGTCAGCGCTAGAAGCTGAAAATTGGCCTGGGCAGGAAGGGGGTAAAAGTGCCCAGTAGGCAAGTGGTTAAAACAAAGATCTTCTTGGTGAGCTAGTCAGCCTCTCCTGGTGTACCACCCCAGACTCCAGATAATCCTCTTCTATTCAGCTGTCTGAAGGAATCCCCAGGCAGGGGATCCAGTGCCTGCCACTGCAGTGTGAGACAGTCCCGGGTAAGACAGCTAATATGCTTTTTCACCAGAGTGATTCTTTACCCTACTGGCCCAGGGTGTGTAGGTCTTCAGTTTGTGAGCTGATGGATTGGTCGCTGCTCTCAGGCCTTCCGCTGGGCCGCTCCTTCCCTGCGGCACAGATGGTCCTTGCTCTTTGGGCCAATGAGGTCCTGAGCTTTCCTCCTTTCCAGCTCCACTGCCAGGAGGTGAGCCACTTCTCAGCCGGGGCCTCTCCCAGGCTCCTGCTCTTCAGCCTCTCACTTCAATTCCACCCAAACTCTGCCATCGAGCAGGCTCAGTCACTCTTAAGGCCTGTCCTGACCCCATGCCAAGCCTCCTGTTGGGGATTGGTCAGGACCCCTCTAGAGTGCAGACCAACTCCTCCTCACCCCCGCCCACTTAGCTCTAGAGACTCCTCCAAGTCTCTAGATCAGGGGGGAGGTGTCAGGGAACTCTGCAGAGCCTCTCAGCCCTGACCCAAATTTGTCATTGTCATCCTTGCAAGACATCTGATCCTAGATTCCAGAACACCACACAGAACTACAAGTCCCAGCAGTGTAGAAAGCAAATTCTGTATCAGCAGTTCCACGTATTTTCTAGTCTCCTTCTAAGGAGGCCTGCAACCATGAGCTCCTCTGTCCATCACTGGAGTAAGCTCTGGACAGTCTGACCCTTTCTGGCAGCATAGGGATGTTATATTCTCCTTTGAATTAAGCCAAGCCTTAAGCACCCAGGGCCAGCATGTCTGGCTTTTTCCAGCTACAGGTCACTGTGCTGTCTGTAATCCCTGCAGAGATCAACCTCATCTCATACCCCCTGTGGGGCACAGGAATTCATAGATAATTTAATCAAACTGCTTTACATACTGTTGAATTCAACAAAAAACAACACACAAAAAAATAATATTGATCTCCCCTCCTCCAATCACAGAACATCTTGTGTTTACTGAAAAGAATTCAAGACATTTTGGTAATGGACGAGTTGCAGAGCAAATGACCCACTGTGATCTGTGCGCTCCAGCTACAAGTGTAAGTTTCAGTGTCGGACATTCTGTGCTGAATATATGGGGGGAATGATTGTAAGAGTATTGCATAACACAGCAGCTGCACACAATGCATTAGTGTTTATTTGCTTTTCAATGCAAACGGTAAAAAAAAAACATTTCAGAGTTCAGCTTTAAATCCCCTGCCAGGTTATTTCTTTATTTGTTGACTGTTTCTGCCATTGGGGAAATTTCTCTTTGCTTCTTGTCCAGAGATTCAAGAGAACTGATATTCTCACTGGGAGATTTCTTCTCTTGTTCTGTTCACAACCCTATCTTTCTTTTTCAGTGACAAATAGTGGGTGTAATCTCCCCAATAGGGAAACATATAGCAATAAAATGTCTATACAAAGTACAGAACTATTTTTCACTAAATTGTCAAACTAGAAATAAATACAATTCCTTTAATTCACCTACAAGTTTAGAATAACAAATATATTGTTGTG